TATACAATCTATATAACACATATAATAATATCATGTTTTTACACAATCTATAACACTAGAGAAAATTAGCTACTTAAAACATTCTTTCTAAGAGGATTAATGTAAAAATTTATATTTAAAGCTGGGACATGAGCCAAACTGTCAACGTCCTGTTTGCTTAAAAACATTGTGAAAGTAAACATCAAATGAACTTTCTCAGTTTTAGACAAATGAATTTAAATAATGCAGTTAAAGTAAAGTAGCAGACGATAACACGGCAAAGGTAAAAATTTACTCTTGCAAATTTTTTTTTTTTCAAAAAGTGCAAAATTTGAATAATATCATCTAAAAGTTTAAAAATTAGCTTTTCATTATAGTATCAAAAATATTTGTTACACATAACTGAGAGAAAAAATTTCATATTATTAATTCTCTGTAAAAATTTATTTGAAATTTAAGGTTAAAAACAGCTGTGGCAATTCACTGTAACAAAAATCCATAAACCACATTTGGCATTATTATCGCTAAAAAAAAGATGCCAAATTTCAAAACACGAAAATATGTAAATTCGTGTATATCTTAGAAAATTTTGAATAAAAAACTGTATTTTTTGTACGTATGCTTAGAACTACACCTACTTTAAGATGATGGTAAAAATGTTATACGGTATAACTCAAATTTTTTTAAAAAAATTTATAAAAATTATTTAAAAATAGAAATTAAAAAAATTAAATAAAAAATGGGTGAATTTTATTTAGAATGAACCTGAATTTCGTAATGTGAAAGGAAAAATCAAAATATTTTAATAAAAAAAAGAGATATTAATAAATCTATGCCAAATTCAATTAACATTGAGGAGCTAATTTTTAAAAAACTACTAAACTAAAGATTTTTACAAAACTTGGCAGTCTGGCATAATTTGAGTTGTAGAATCGAAATGTGGGAAAAAATTGGTATTTTATTTCAGAAAAAGTACTATTTTTGTCAGAATACTTATGTTAGAATAGTGTTATATATAAATCTAATATATATCATAAGTCATGCTTTCGAGACATGAAAAATGCAGTTTAAATTTTGTCAATTGGCCCAGTAGAATGGGAGATATAAAACTGTCCCCTCCCTTTTTTTTTTTTTTTTTTTTTTTTTTTCGCAGTGTACATTGAAAAGGCAGCCATGATAAACACAAAGGTGTAACAGAAGAGGGTAGTCTCTGAGTACAACAAAGGCTTGAAGTAACTAGAGTAACACCTGTCACAGAGCTGATTGCTTTGTGAGGGGAAAGCGAAATGTTCTTTGCTGTGAAAATTGCATGTACTTACTTGCTGAGCTTTACCTCTTTGCTTCCAGCATATCGTACATGATACACTTCAGTTTCTTTGTACACTTTCCATATCAAACGTGTGATACATGATCGAATTTTCATTGGTGGCTCACCATATCATATTTGATATTCTGAAATGGGGCATTTTATTTCAAATTTTAAAATCTTTCCATATCAAATTTGTGATACAGTATCAAATTTTCATTGGTGGCTCACCATATCATATTTGATATTCTGAAATGGGGCATTTTATTTCAAATTTTAAATGTGCAAAAATTATGCCAAGATTGCAAAACTACTGAATGGAATTTCTGGAGTATTAGCATTGTTATTATGAATATGATTTATTCTTTTATTTTATCATAATGTATCATGATTTATTATTTTATTATAATGTAAAATGCACACAGCTCAAGCAGCTTAAAATTTTATGGTTAAATATGGCAAGAGTATGTAATAGCATTGATATTTAAATCCTTCGCTTTTTATTTCATTTGTATAGAAATATTTTGAACATGTTAATATAATAGAATAATTATTACTAATATTGCACATTAACTTGTTTTGATTGGAAGTATTATGATTTTTTTTTAAGAAATAACATTTATATAATATATTCATGAATCCAAATATTTTGAAAGAAAGCAGATTTTATGGGAATTATTTTTGCATATTAGGCTTTTATGTAAAATACATTTGAGTGTGCAGGGATGTTCAGCACTCTAAGGTCACAGGAGCACAGATAATATGAATGATAAGTACAATTGGGAACTCCTGCATTATGTTTTAAAACAATAAAAGAAGTGTTGCTGTTGTACAGTTTATTTTTAAGTAATAAGGAAAAAATCCTGATTAGCAAATAATAAGCATTATACTACAAAAAGCAAAAACCTATTATTCACCAATGTTTTTTCTTCACCAAAGTTCTCCTATGTTTGAACATTAGTCTATTAACAGTGTACTTATTTTTATACAGTGTTATAGTCTGAAAGTTTAATTCAGGAGTGAGGATTCACATTTTCCTCCACTATCGGAGAATGAAACTCTATCTAACAAGTGGCGGCCATGTTTGTAAAATCTAAACGTTGCATTATGGCAATGAAACATACTTGTTTCTAAACTGTTTTGTGCATATATTTTCCGGTAAAAATATGTTAAATTTATAATGAAATGTTTCACTTTTGTTAAATTTTTGCTTTAAGGTAATAAAGATTATATCTGTAATTTACTATGTACAGAAAATTAAGAAATATTTCAAAGTCTAAATGCATATGTATAACATTAAAGCCTTTAAAAAATGATGTTTCTGCATATTTCAAGAATTTGTTCAGGTTTTATTAGCTACCTTTTGTGTGCACTTTCCAGTTTTTTCTTTAAGAAGTTATATTTCTGATTTATTCACAATATTATCGTAAGTTATTAAAGAATCATTTCATATACAAATTTTTAACATATAGGAAAGAAAGTTATTTTATTTTAGTATGCTTAATACTTCAGCTTTAAGTTGAAATACACTAAAACAGAAATTCACATATTTTTTATTGGTTATAGCAGTTGTTGAAAGAGCTAATTATTTGAGCCAATTTCAGAAGACTTGATGCAAATAGTATTTCATTTTTTGTTCTTTTTTAAATTAAAATAATAAATATTTTGAAATTAATAGCTGACAGTTACCTAAAAAATAGTCATAGGTTGCATTTTTTTAAATAGGTCCTTTTCAGAATCAACAACCTTGTAACAAGAAGTTAATAAAATAAAATAGATTTATATAACACAATAACATGCCGAATAAGTACTAATTCAGATGACAAACAACAAAAGTCAGCGTTAATTTTCAAAATTTTCACAGAAAAGCAAGCAAAAAATAAGCCTGTTTGGGGCTTCTATAATTAAGACACAATAACACGCCGAATAAGTACTAATTCAAAAGTCAAACAACGAAAATCAGCGTTAATTTTCACAGGCTTTTCACTGTGAAAATTTTGAAAATCAATGCTGATTTTTGTTGTTTGACTTCTGAATTAGATTTATATGAATTTAATGATTTCAGTTTATGCTTGTTTCGTATTTATAATTCTCAAAGAAATTGCCTTTAATTAAGCTGAATTACAGAAATATACCTATATAAATTTTTGGATATGTCTTTCCATGTGTTCAATTATGTAAATATTTTACTTTTATTGCTATACTTCCTAAATATTTGTAAGTTTATGCAAACAATTTTTAACAACTGAACAGTTTATCGTGATCAAATGCACAAATTATATTCATAACAGTTCACAAAACTTAAAAATGATTAATAATACATAAAGAAAAGCATTACTTTAATTAACACTTTTACAATTCATAAAAATAGTAACAATTGATTTCTTACGTTTCATGAAAATTATAAAATGTTCAAATTACATAGTTTAAATTCTAGCATATATCATTGCATGTTAAGGAACAAAGATACCAGTTATAAACAGAAACATTAAAATGTACTTAACATATTTTGATTATTATTAAGTCTTTTTTTTTTCATATCTGGAAAGAAAATAACATGGCATTGTAATAATAATCAAATTACGTAAAAAAAATCAATACTTACGTGTCAAAAGTAATCCCAGGAATCTTTTTAGAAAATCTTCCTGCACCCATATGCAACACAAGATTCTATGCTTCACAAAAAAAAAAAAAAAAAAAAAAAAAATTTTGCAATGATAGACTTCTTTGCACGAACCACACCAGCTGCAGTAACATGGCCGCTGAGGATTCACAGTTTGAGTTGAACCTTCCCTCCTATTTTAACCTCCTTGGTTTAATTAGCAGGGGTGAAAAAGTAACTTTAGATTGGCATGGAATTTATAATCTCTAATTTTGCATTTTTAGTGTTTTTCTATTCTGTATGATAGTGCTTCCCAGCCTTTTTCCTGTCATGCAACACCTCACAAATATAAATAATGTCATGACTGTTAAGGAAAGTTTTTCTATTAACATGGTTATTTTTCTGTTTCATACTTGAGATTCAGTTTATCAGTTCAATTCAGCAATTCAGTGAGCAACAAAAAATTAGGAAAACAATAATTAACCATTAACTGCATCAATATTATGGGCCTCTCCAAGCTTCTGGAATAATTTTTTGAAATGTAAACATTGGCAGTCATTGAAATGATGCCAAATTGCTCAGTCATAAGTCATTATCTTATATTTGAGAGCAAGAGGTAAATGTATCATAGCATATTTTGTTCACAAAATTGAAACTATTTGAGTGTAATGAATACTCTGAGGAATCAAGCTATTTTTTTTCACTCCAAGTTAAATATAGTTTTTAAATAAATTCAATCCTTCAGCAAAGGGTTTTGCTCAGAGTTCATGTAAAATTCACAAAATATACATATTTTACACATTTTGGGACTGCATGTTTATATATTCAATTAGCACAAAAATTTTTGAATGTCCATATTTCGCCTTATATGTTTGAGAATTAACTAAAATTATTTTTAAAAAAATCTGTATAATGAAGTTGCGTTGAAAGTCAAATTTTGTGTTATTTCATATAATAGTTTCTGAATTTTAAATATCAAAAATTAAAAACAATTTGTTGTAATATCAGTCATCATCAGCGAAGTTTTTAAAATATGTTTTGGACAAAATGTTCTGATTATAATTAGCTCATTATGCAGAATATAACACTTTTTTTTTTTTTTTTTTACATTAGCATGGAGATGTGATCCAGTGTGATCCAACCTATTTTTCTAAACGATTCCATGTAGCTGCTCGGAAACAGCGCTTGGAGGCTATTTTAAGAAATCAAATTTTGCGAAGGTAAGTGGAATTTTTTACAACGACTTCAAAGTATAGGTATGTTCTATTTGTTATTTTATACCCTTCCAGTCATAACATTACTCGATCATACTGTGTTACAGAGCATCTGCTTATGAATATTGCACATGAAATAATTGATATTTTCTGGGCTTTTCTGCCTTCAAATGCGATCACGGTTGATTATGAATTTACTGTGTGTGTATACAGTATACATTTTAGTAACTGCGCAAAAATAGAAAATTAATAAAGATGACTTAAAATGCAATGGTTGTTGTTAATAGACCTAAGCTCAAAATGCCATGGGATATGTTATTCATTTTATTAAAGTTGCTTCATGATACTTAACCCTGTGTAATATGGACAGCTAATGGCATCATAGGCAACGTTTTTAAACGTATCACTTCTTATTAAGCTTCTTGGTAAGTCTGTAATTGATATTTTTCTTTAACTTATTAATAATATTTGATACATAATGAGCATTAAATTAAAAAACTAAGCTAAACCAAAAAACTCAGTGGCATAACAGCCCTAATATGTCAAGGCCTGCAGTGCCCGAAATTTGCTTTCTTAAACGTGTGTCCCGGGGTGCCTAAGCATATGCCCTGAACAAGTGGTCAGCTGGTCGCAGGACCCCTGTGTTTAGTCCCCGAGCGAATTTGGTACTCATTTTATTGAACCAAGTGATGGAAATCAAAGGCTGAGTCGACCTTGCACTAGCCACTGCGCTACTGGGCCTCAAATTAAAAAACTACTTTAACTAAAATTCGCATTAAAACTGTAAATTCAAAACAAGTACAAGTATCTGGCTAAAAAACTATTACTTTTGTTAGTATTATCACTTTTGTTAGCATAAGTAAGACATATTGTGGTGATTGTTAACTTGTAGAATGGAATTTATTTCAGTTATTTCAAGAACAAACATAGGGAGGTTATAAATTAAATGCATTAAGTAAAGAGAAAAGGGTTCGTCATTGAATATGCTTTACTTCCTGTGCATGTTAGAACTATACATATTCTTAGTGGTCTTAAAAATTTGAAGCGTATCATTAGCGCAGTATAATGTTGATGTATTTGTCTTTCTGTTGCCCCGATAACTACTGTATGTTCTAAAACTCGTATGGCAATCAATTGCAAAGTGGCATTATTTGACATTTACTTATTCCTTTGAACATTAATGCAATCATTTATTATACATATAATGTAATTTTAAAGTTAGATTATTAATTAATTCAAAAATATGCATTATAGTGCAATATGTTTTGAATTATAATTTTATTTCTAAACTATTAAATTGCAACATTAACCATATTCAATAAGCCAAAAAACTGTAACCTGGACATGCATACTAAAGACATTCTTGTATCAAATATGAAATCTCTATGTTATATATATGCGTATATGTCTGTGTATCACATGCAAATAATTTATACGATGGGCAAATTAAATTCAAATCTGGATTGTATACTGTAACCTGCATTAATTCAGTGGAAATATTTATTAAATCATATTGTCTACACAAATTAAAATGTCATATTCAATTTTTCATTCAATTATTATTTATTTTCATGCATGTATACACATATGCATATTGCATGTATATATACACACACATATACATGCGTGTATGCACTGCTCGACATTGAAAATGCAGCACCAAGAAGCAGTGGTCAGAAATGATAAAGACAGAGACAGCAAGCATCAATAAGTGATCTTTATTTCAAAATGGTAGTCAGAATACAGAGCAAGAACGATGTTGGCTCAGTAGGATGTAGGACCACCACGGACAGCGAAGCACAAAGAAGCACGTCCAGGCATAGAGTCGATAAGAGTGTGGATGGTGTCCTGAGGGATGGCTCTCCATTCCCTTTCAACCATTTCCCACAATTTGTCTTCTGAACGAGGCAGAGACAGAGTCTGCAAACAGCGTCCAGTCACATCCCACACATGTTTGATTGGTGACAGGTCAGAAGAGTACGGTCGTCAGGGAAGCATCTGTATACCTTGCAGAGCATGTTATCAGATGCAAGCACTGTGTGGTCGGGCATTATCCTGCTGAAAAATTGCATTAGGCAGCCCCTGAAGGTAGGGGATTGCCACCGGCCACAGTACATTGTCCAAGTATCGTTGGGGTGCCATAGTGCCCTGAATACGAACTAGAGGTGACCTGGAATCATAGGAAATAGCGCCCCAAACCATTATGCCATGTAGTCGTGCGGTGGGGTGTTCCACAGCTACTGCCAGATTAGATCTGTCTCCACGTAGATGCCACACACGTATGCGGCTACTGTCACTGGATAAACAGAAGCGTGACTCATCTGAGAACACTACGTTTCACCATTCTGTCATCCACATTGCTCCAGTCTGGCACCATTCTAAACATTGGCATCTATGCTATGGAGTCAATGGCAGTCTTTTTAATGGACGCCATGAGTGCAGGCCATGTTCAACCAATCAATGGGAAATGGTTCTGATCAACACGGGAACATCCAGGGTATCTTCCACATGCTACAGAATTGCGGTACAAGTGACTTGCGGGACCGCCACAGCTTGTTGGCGGATTCGTTGATCCACGCGTGCTGACGTCATTCTGGCTGCACCTGCCCCCTCCTTCTTCCCACATTTCCATGGAGGTAGGAAGTAAGATGGACTCGCCCTAAACAAGTTTCTCCCATACCCTGCTCTGAAGCACCGGCGATCCCTACGTGGTGACCAAAACATTGGGTCATTTACCATTGAGTTCTATGGGATTTGACGTGTTCGGATGTAAATATTTTGTAATTACGTCGCAAATATACATATAAATGTATATATTTTCTTTTTCTACAACACTTCAAAGTCCTAAGTATGTGAAAACAACATATTTTTAAACAACATTTCATTCTGAACGGAATTAAATGCTATACTTTTCACAGGACAGTTTTCTCAGAATGGTTTAATTTGAATGAAATATTTTCACAAGTTTTCGTTAATTACATTAGAAAAAAAAAATTAAGGTAATTCGATTTTATTCGGTTAAGGTACAAAAATTAAGATTAAAGTTTATTGTATTATTAATATTAAAATTATGCATTATTTCTTTTCTATTTATAGAGCTTCTTCCTAAAATACTTTCTTAAATATGACATGATTTTTTGGCTTCTTTTAAATCAAAAAATGCAAGTCAATTTATAATTAATGCTCTATTCGGTTCATTTTAAATTAGAGAATTATTAGGAATTAGCGAAATACTTTAAATAAGTATTTCGCTAATTCCTAATAATTAAATAGGTATTAAATAGTATTTGACTTTCTCTGAACATTTCTGAAAGGGAATAAAATAATTTTTTTTTTTTTTTTTTTTTTTTTTTTTTTTTAGTATTATTTAAAACTTGTAACTGAGTTATTATAAAATGTAAAGGGAATAATTCTTTTAATTATACTTATCAGATTTTTTTTTTTTTTACCCTTCATTTCAACAATACATATTCCAAAACTCTTTATTACGTTCTTAAGTGCGCATCTCATAGCATTTGCTTTACAATACCTTTTAACAGATTGCTTTCCAATACGAACAATTCTTGCTTAAATAGTTTTATAACGTATTTGTCAACAGGATTTCAATTTATGTTTACAATTCAATATTAAGGTTATTATATATTTAGATAACATTTATAATCATTATAAATGAGATACATTTAATCATTAGATTTCTTCACAGTACTTTCACAGTTGTTTATAAGTGAATAAATTCTTCATTTCAAATACATTTATAAATAATTTAATGAATATTTAAGTATTTTGTCAAAGACAGATACATGCTTTTTGCAAGCACATGCATAAATACCCATACATATTTCCTATTTATCATTTCCGGCATGTGCGAATCTTTAATTTCTGTGCATTCACTATATTTTTCGTGTAAAGTAATTTACACTAATTTAGCATACACCCGAAAGTTTTACATAAAAAATATATATGAATATAATTTGAATGAAAATTATAAGTATTATTTTTAATACGCACTCAAAGGTCAGTTTTTCTTCAAAGTTCCTCCACGATGGCATCTCTCTCTTTAGGCAGATAGCCCTTGCATGCGTTACTCTATTTAATAAAACTTAAATAATCTGACCTATGTGCCTAATTACAAATATTTTAACATACATAATTTTATATTTACATTTAGCCATCAAGTTTCAAACTTTTCAAATCTTCTAGAAAATAAATTTTGGCAGATCTCTTTTAGCAGTTTTCTTAAAATCTATATTTTTGTAGTGCAACACCTTAGAATTTTATAAAACAAATTCATAATCAAAATCGCTGTTGTTATGTATCGAAAAATAACCAAGATGTGATTTTTACGTAAATGTCAGTAAACTATACAAATTGCTATTATCCATTACACTATGAATGTTTCTTTCATGCGAGAGTGTCCCCCTTTTCGATTTCTATGGAACTGTCGTGTGTCGAAATACTATCAGAATCTTGTCAAGCGAGCTTCTGAATGTAAACAAAGAACACCCCGTCTGGTGACCCAAGCTTCAAAGCAGTGCTTCACTTCTAGCGCGGAATGGCCCCTCCTTCCTTTCCTACCTCCATGCACATTTCCTTGTTCCAACCATGTTTGCCATAGCCAATGCACCGCCCTCGCATCCATGGGGTATCAGCTACGATTTAACATAAGGACCAACCCGCCCTTCTCTAAATTGTCTATCTGGCTGGAAGTGCCTTCGTTGACAGTCGCCTGGCATTCTTCCCTTTTACACGTATCCTCCGGGACAGAAACCAACTTTCTTTGATAATTTGTCTGGCAGAAATAATGACACAAATATTGCCCATTCTGCACGTTCGTTCCCTTATATCTTCATGTGCGTCGGAGAGCTGTGTATTTCGCATCTTTCGCATAACTCAGTGACGTGCGCCTACTCTAAAATTTGCATAAATTTCTGACCACTCCTTCTTGGTGCTGCATTTTCAATGTTGAGCAGTGAATGAGGGCATTTCGAAAAGTAAAGATACACCAT